GCGGAGGAGGAGGAGGAAAAGGAGGAGGAGGAGGTCAGGTCAGGTCATCCGCATAAAAGGGGTCTACATCTGCACCTACGAAAGAGCTGTGCGCGCGACTAGCAACATATCCTGCGATTGTGTCGTGTGCCGCGCACCCCGAACTTCTCGCGGGGCGGGCCAAGGGGCATACCCCGAAGCTCAAGGTGGCGAGCTCCGAGGTGGCCACGTCAGAGAGGCTCGCTGATTAAGACGAGTCCCTCGGGTCAGCGCGAGGGGAAAAGCTGCTGGCATGCTCGCGTGCCCAATCTGGGGGACGCGCAGGCGAACAGGGTTCCCAAATATGGGGGTTCCCTGAACCCTACTTTAGTTCGTGAGCCAGAGCGCCTGTGTTCCGAGAAACCCGCCCCCCTCCCCCTCTGCACCAAGACAGGAGCTCCAGCACTCCGAGATGTCCTCGCTCGTGCTCTCTGCTCTCACTATTCCGAGACAGATGATTCCCGCGCCAAACGCGCTGAAATTTCGCTTCCCGCGCCAAACGCGCTCAGAAATGTGCAACCTCTCCTCTTTCCGTCCTCTGCAAGGTCACACTTATACACCAGAAAATCTGGGGAAACATGCGGCACATTCAGAAGGTGGACCGAGGACGAGAGACAGGGAGACGAAGCAGAGGAGAGAGGGGGGGGGGAGAGAATGCAGGAGGCCCCTACACGCCAAGCGCCTGCTGATGGGCCTGATTAAGATTATACCTACATCCTGCTGTGCCCACGCTTCGAACAGAGTCCCCTCCCTCTCCCCCGCCTCACCCCCCCCCCGCCTTCTCTCGCTGCGCCGAGACAGATGCTTCCCGCGCCAAACGCGCTCAGAGATGCACAACCTCTCCTCTTTCTTTCCCTCTGCAAGGTCAAGTTGCGAAGCCGAGGTCTCCCTGACGTACACGGCCAAGGAGGAGGTGGAGCAGGCGGAGAAGGACTCGGAGACGAGGGGGAAGGATGAGGGAGAACAGGGGGAATAAGCAGGAGGAGCAACATGAATGAGAGAGGAGAAGAGAGGAGCAGGAAGAGCAAAATGATGCGGGGGAATGGCGCGGAGGAAAAGGGGGGTGGGGGAGCAGCAGCAGTAGCAGCAGCAGCAGCAGCAGCAGCAGCAGCAGCAGCAGCAGCAGCAGCAAGGCCTTCACGTCGACCCTGTCGAACCCTGCGCAGCGCATCGCGACCATCTTCACTCCGTTCGCCTTGAACCCGCCGCCACGCTTGCACCGTCGAGCGTGGCCCAGGAGCAGTGGGCAGCTCCTCATCATCTTCCTGTTGCTGCTCCTTCGCTCCTTCGCTCCTGGGCTCCTTCGCTCCTCCTCCTCCTCCTCGGCCTCCGCCGCCCTCCTGCCCCCCCCCCCTCGTTACTTGCTCCCCCAGCCCCGCCCCCGCCCCCCTCCCCCACACTGCCGGTGCCGTTCCTCCTTTCCCCCCTCCCGCCCCGCTCCCCACGCTCCTCCCGCTGCTGCGTCTGCCACCCCTGCTGCGCCTTCGCATGCTGCTCTAACTCCCGCGCCCGCTCTCGTCCCCGCTGCTCCTGTTTTCCCACCTTTCGACCTTATACGTAACCCAACCAGCGCCAGCGCGGGCTTCTCCCGACAATATGAAAGAAGCTTTACCCTCGAAGACTTGTGTGTAAGCAACCAGCCTGACGGGCTGCCAGCGACCAAGCTTCTGTTCCTCCTCCTCCGCCTCCTCGTCGTCCTCCTCCTCCTCCTCGTCGCCATCATCGTAAACATCATCAGCAAGAACAGCATCCTCATCAACATCACCGGCAGCATCATAAACATCAGCATGAACATCAGCATCAGCATCAGCAACAGCCACACAGTCACCATTATCATCATCACCAGTATCATCAGCATCATTATCATCATCATCAGCATCATCATCATTACCCTTACCATCATCACCATCATCAACCTCAACAGCAGCATCATCAGCAGCATCAGCATCAGCATAAGCATCATCATCATCAGCATCATCATCGTCGTCATTAGCAGCATCATCATCATCATCATCATCATCATCATCATCATCATCATCAGCATCAGCATCAGCATCAGCATCACCATCATCAGCAGCAACATCAGCACCATCATCACTATCATCGTTATTGTCGTCACCAACATTAGCATCATCTTCTTACATCCGCATCATCATCATCATCAACACCATCATCAGCATCCACGTCGTCACCATCATTATCATAATCAGCAGCAGCAGCATCAGCATCAGCATCGGCATCGGCATCATTATCAGCAGAATGATCTTCAGCATCACCATCACCATCACCATCACCATCACCGTCATCATAATCATCATCATCAGCATCATCCTCATTATCCTTATCATCCTCATCCTCATCCTCGCCCTCATCCTCTTCCTGATCATCATCCTCATCATCATCATCAGAAGCAGCAGCAGCATCACCATTATCGTCATCATCATCATCACCATCCTCCTCCTCATCATCTTTATCATCGTTA